TCTCTCTTTTTATTGTAATTTTTCCTGTGAATCTACTGGCTTCTCTACCTCATTCACTGACGACTTTGAAACTTAGCCCATGTTCTCCTCGTCCATCCAACCTCTACTGTCATCGTGGGTGGTGGGTGGTATTGGAGTCTTTGTGTATGATCTCTCACCTTAAACTGTAAGGTTCATGACTTCCTGTCATCCAGAAATTATACCACCTGTGTCCATGTCACCTTGTCATCATCCAGCATTACACTGCTCTGAAACTGTAAACTCCCTGATCATAATCTCTGATCATCAACCTTATCCTGCCACCTCCCTCCCTACTTGACTTGCAGTTGTCTGCTTTCTTATCTCAGCAGGTTTTGCAGCCCTTCTTTTTCTCTAGGCCATACGCCTGTCATGGCTTTGCTCCCTAGCCTGTACCCTAGAGTCACAAGCCTCCTCAATACCTTAGCTAGTCCTCCTGTTTTTCTCTCTAATCACCCAACAACCCTCAACCTTGAATCACCAAAGCATCTACCGTTCTCTATTTCTTGTCTCAGAGCTCCAAGCACTATTTTAGGGTCACAAAACCATTACAGATTCACAGACTCTATCCTCTGCAGGCCCCCAGTGCCACTCGGCCACATTTTCTACGTGCCTTTGATCAGCTTTACCCTCTAGTCCGTAATCAACTATTCCAAACGTTAACTGCTCCCAGGCCTCTGCCACATCCCACTCACCCCAGTACAGAATCTGTAATACCATCCTCTGCTTTCCTGAGAAAAATCAAGAGTATCAGCTCAATAGCCCCTTCTAGGTATATGTCAAAAGGAGCTCTGGTGGCATAGCGCCTAAGGCGTTTGACTGTTAAACAGAAGGTAGGAAGACTGGGCAATCTACTTCCACAAAGATTTACTACCTTGGAAACCCAGTGGGGGTTGCTATGAGCCAGAATCGAGTGGATACAGCGGGTTTGGTTTGATTTGGTGTACACATGTCATTCCTCCATGCTTTAAGTACTTACTGCACTGGGCTGAGCTCTGATGGTGCAGTGCCTAAGGCACTTGACTGCTAACCAGAAGGCTGGCGGTTCAAACGCACCAGCCACTCCTCGGAAGGAAAGTTGGGCAATCTACTTCCGTAGAGATACCGTCTCAGAAACCCAAGGAGGGGTTGCTATGAGTCGGGTCCAACTTGACGGCGCATAACAACGACAACAACAAGCACTGGGCTGCTAACTAAAAGGCTGGAGAGACTCCACCCAGGGCCACCTCATAAGAAAGGCTTGGCGATGCATTTCCAAAAGATCAACCGTAGGAAACCGAATGAGGCACAGCTCTGCTCTGACCGACGGCGGTCACCGGAGTCAGAGTCAACGCAGCAGCGGCTGGTTTGGAGTTGGGGATGGATGCGTATATCAGAACCAGAGGCAGCTCTACTGAAAAGAATGCCTGTGATGAGCCCTGAAATCACACCCCGCAGGGATGTAACAGGACTCAGGAGCGTTGGGGGCAGTCTCTCCTCCATCCCCCACACCCCAGTTTAAGTGCCCAGAGCCAATCTCTAATTTGCATCCCCACCACCACCACCAATTTCAAGGTGAATCGATGTAGCAGCAACACCTCAGCAGAAGCACAGTCACTTCTCTGGTCCATCTGCCTCAGTCAGGCGCCTTTGCTGTTTGTGGTGCCTTGCAACGTCATTTTGCGCCTCATCTGGCACCCCCTTGGTCTTGCTCCTGGAGGCCCCCCCCCCACCTCCTCTGTGTCTTCCGTGCTTGATGAAGGATGTTGGGCAGTACTGGGTTTGTGGAAACTGCTCAGTGACACTTCCCTTGCCAGTGGCACCCAGGGCATGTGCCATCCCGCCATACTTCAGCTACGCCTCTGGTTGCAGCCCCCCTTTATCTCCTTTCCTTTGACCTCAAAATAGGTATCACTTTCTTTTTTTCTTTTTTAAATTGTGATTTGGGTGAAAGTTTACAGAGTAAATTCACTTTCCATTCAGCAGTTCACATACACTTTGTCTCATGACATTGACTACAATTTCCCACAATGCAACAGCTCCCTTCCCACTTCCTCCCCATAGTTACTTCTTCCCTGTGTCCATCCCTTCATGCACTCCTGCCCCCTGAGCTGTCTCCCTGTGCATAAACAGCCCTTTCTCCCATGATTGTTCTCTCCAAGTAGTGTATCTACCTCAGGTAAATGTTCAACTCATATGCCCGTCTTTTGTTTGGCTGGAAGCCACAGGTGTGGGTTCAATTCCAGACCTGAAGGGCAGCTAGGGGCCATAGTCTCAGGGGTTCCGCCAGGATCTGTCAGACCAGTAAACCTGGTCTCCTGAAAAAGGTATCACTTTTTTCTTTCAATACTAATATCTTTATAGAATTTGAATTCCATATTTTCCTACTTCCTTAAGAATTTCAGTCAATCTGATATTCCCTCTTTCTTTTATAACAAAAATTTACTCCATATATGATTCTTTCTCTCACCTCAACTCTTCCTTTCTTTAAAAAACACTTGCAATTTTGATCCTATATTCCCCTCTAGCCATGATGTATCTCCATCAGTCAATTCAAAACATTTATGGTGCATCTACCATATGCCAGGCTCTGAGAAAATGCTGAAGGTTCAGGGAAACTAACAGACTGATCCTCAGAGAGTTGGAAGACTAGACAAGAATTCATAAAAGTAAGCAGGCAACTCCAGCTGTCTCTCATTCCTCACTTTTCACTCATTTTTCAGTCTGGCCTATCATGTGCACTGGGACTGTTGTAGTCAAGGTCTCTGTGATACCGGGTTAAGTCCTTGCCCAACTTGTCTGCAGATTCTGCCTCTCCTTAACCTTCCTTTTAACGCTCTCCTGTCCTCGGGCTTCTGTTAAAGCACGGACTCTTCTTGGTTTTCCTTCCTGCTGGGTTGCTCTTCTCACCTCTTTGCTGTAGGTGCTGATGCTCCCCAGGGATCTACTGTTGACCCTGTGCTGGCTGTGTAGCCTCCCTGATGACCTCGTGAAGCCAAGTGATCTTAACTCCAAACCCCATCCACGGCCAAGACGAGACCTGCCAGCAAGCTGTCTGTAATTATGACCGAGCATCTCAAAGAGTTTCCTCCGTTTCCACCTTCTACCCATCCTGAATCCACTTCTTGTCATCTCACAGCCTGAGGTTCCATCCTTATCTTGAACCTGGAATTGGCCTTTCAGCCTTGTTTCATTTAGCTGGTTATTTGACTTTCCATTTCAGAGCTATCCCTGAACGCTGCCTGTCAGACCATACGGCAGGCACGTAGCTCAGAGCTAACCTGGCCCCAGGCCTGAGCCAGCTGGTCCGGTCCGGTGTTCCTGAACATTCCGTGTCTGGAAGGGACAGTCAGCAACGAGCTCAGGTCTCTTTCCTGAGCTTCACTGTCTGTGAACAGCTCTTCTTCCTCCTGGGAATGCTGTCTCAGTGAACGCTCTCCCCATCGACCCAGGGGCCCAACCAGGAAATAGAGGATTATTCCTAGCTCTTTCACACTTCATAGCCACATCCTGTCAATTCTAGTTCCTTAATTTTCTAAATCCCTCCTGTTGATTCAATGTTTATTGCCACTGCTGACGCAGTCTTCTTGTGGATCACTGCAGGGCCCTCCCCGCTGTCCTGCTCCCTGTCATACTGAGTCGAGTCTCTTCCCTGGGCTCCTACCAGAGGTCTTCCCCTGAAGTACAAATTTGATCCTGTCACTTCCTGTTAACCTCGTGATTCCCTGTTGTGTGTAAGATAGTAATCGGGGACCTGGCTCATGCCTAGCTCTTCAGGCTTCTCTCTCATTACTCACCCACCTCTGGTTTCAGGGAGTGTACCACTCTAAGAGCCCAGTTCTAGAAAGGCCTCGGAGAAGGATCTCCAATGAGTTACCTTAAGTTACTGAGCCTGCATCTTTCAAGTGCTCATCCATCTGCGGTTGGCCAGGTCCCGGGCTTGGCTCTGGATGCGACTGCACTTTCTCCCTGCTATGATGAGACTCCTCTAGCCAGAGTGTAGAAAAGAACCAGTGTGCCTCACTACAAACTGCTTTTCCCCAGCACAGCACCCAATAGGATAAGTATGTACTTGACTTATTGGCGCCCAGCCTACATAGCACCCACCACCACAGAAAACTGTAGAAAAGCCCTTGACAGTTGAGGTATGGGCTGGAGAAAGTTGTTAAGAGCGTTATGCTTGAGAGGAGGGGGGATTAAAGAGTACACGGGCCAAATGGAACCAGAAAAAAAGATTTAACCAAGGTGGCTGCAAGCATCCTAATTGAGCTGGCAGAGAAAAGTCATGGTGGAAAGGAGCCAAGGTCATAGTCCGAAAAAACAGCAATGAGTCCTGAGACCAATGTGGTTAGAGTCAGGCAAGGGCCACAACAAGAACCCAAGCAGCAAGGTCACTAACCGTGAGGTTTAGAGGCCACAAGGGATGAGGTGTTCTGACAGTCAAAGGAAACGGTTCAACATTGTGAACAACAAATAAGTACCACAACTGCCTTGCTGAACGGTCTTGCCTGTCTTACAAAATTCCCTCTGACCACCTCTCAATCCCTATGGGACTAGTGAGGAATATTGTCACAAAGTGATATCACTGTACCTGGGACTCTTTGCAGTTCCCCAAATCTGGTGGAGCACAGCCAGAGGGGCAACCATTTCCAGACCCCACCTACTAATAGGAGTAGTTGCCTCCTCCTGTCTTGTCAGGGTGGATTCTCATAGATTTGAGTCTTTGAAGTGCAGAGCCTAAAAGTGCTGTGAATCAGTCAGGACAGCAAGGGTACAAAGGGGGCAAGAAGAGCCTGCAAAGCAGTGCTCAGCCTGTCTCCCATGGGGTGGGTCCTTTCTGGCCCAGGTGAGTGGATGGTCCAGGGAGGAGTTGCAAAGGCTGTCGGAGCAGTAGACTCCACTGTGGATCTTAGTTTTCTCTCCCATCTCCCTTGAGAGGCACCATCATATTCCACAAATGTCAGGCTGCCACTTACAGGTTTATCCTGGCTTTTGTGTTCCAGAAAACAGAAAAAGTCGACTTCTCCTACAACAAACTGGCTGATCCCAAGTTTTCATTTTATGACAAGACTTTGGTGGAAGCAGTGAAAACGAGCGATTACTGGGTGCACCTATTTTTCCTCTCACTCTCAGTGTGCCATACAGTGATGTCAGAGGAGAGAGTGGAAGGTGAGGAGGGCCAAGGCTGCTGGAGGAGGGGGTGGTTTGATGCTATTTGTATCAGTTTAATCCAAGAAAGAACTTTCTAACGGAGAGCACTGACCAGCAATGGAATGGATGGTTAAGATAAGTAGTTAGCACGCAGTCATTGGGTCTACTCAAGTAGATACCAACCTCTTGGTTTCAAAGATGATTCCATCTTGGAATGGGGTCAACCTGATACTATCTGAGGGGCTTCTGATCTTGAGACTCTGTGAGGTTCTGTCCCAGATCAGCCCTGCTGTCTCTGCCAAGACTTCCTGAAGGCTGAGTTGAATCATTCTCTTGTAGCCTCACAATTTAAAAGTATCCCCACTGGCCTAGTTTCTCTAGTAACCAAATAGGCCTACTCATCCTTGAATTTATCCAAGCCTTTTAGAAATAATGAATCAGAAATGACTGACTGTAAGGTTAACACTTTGAAAAAACAAACAAGAATTTAGGCAGCAGGGAGTTCCGGCAAGATGGCAGAATAGGTAGAAAGACTGCACAGACTCTCTTCAACAAAGAAAAGGGGAACCAGTTAACACAGATACAGGAGATAATCCTGGACCCCTGAGCTTTGAAGGGAAGTGGACTAAACTCCAACTAGCAGAAGAATTTGCATGAAAACACCAAAAAAGGAGACATACGCAACTGTGGTCTGGCAGCAATCCTGACAGCACAGACAGCTTGGATATTGCCGAGTGGTGGTAGGACCTAAGAATTAACCTAAAAATCGACCCTGCTACCCAGGGACTGCACAGAGGACTGCTCTGGTGGCTGGGGAATAAAAGAGAAAGCAGCGAAGAGGAAGGTGGGCTGAGCTGTGGACTTTTGTCTGTTCAAAGGGCGCAACCATTTTGAATGTTTACAAGCGGCTTGACCATTTTGGATATTTAAAGTGAGAGCATTCTCCCAGATTCCAGGGACATTGCTGGGAACCTCAAGGACATTCCAGACCCGAACGACTGGAAAGGTGCAACATTCCCTTGTTATACTTATACCCAACACCCTCTTGGTGAATGGAGGTGCAGCTATCCCTCACTCCCACCCATTTTCTAGGCCAGCAGGAATCCCAACCCAGTCTGTGTGCCCAGACAGAGCCTGGTGCCCTGCCTTACCCTGCCCTGATTTTTTTTTCTTTTTTTTTTTTGTTTTTTAGTTTGTTTATTTTTGTCTGTTTTAAAACTACTGTTATTATTACTTTTGTCCTTTTTACTATTATTCTTTATTCTTCCCCTCCCAGGTTCTAGCTTTCAGCTTTTTTTCTTTTTCCTGTTGCTAAATGCAATTTTTTTTTTCTTTCTCGTGGTTAACCCGGTTCCTTGTTTTTCTTATGCATTCTTCCCATTTTTTTTTTCTTCATTGTTCTCCTTCTCTACATTTTTTCTCTTATTGCCCTCTCCCCAGATATTGTGGGCTTTTTTTTTTTCCCCCATTTTTCTTTTTTTGGTTACTCTTCTTGTGTGATTACATCATATGTTTTTTGTATATTTACTTTTACTTTTTTGATGGTTATTCAATTGTTATTTTTGTCTAACTGAGTAGAAGACAGCAACAGTTCCCATATGATACAACTACACCCACACCTCCTGCAACTTCACTTACTGAGTGAGAGCCACCACTTCCTTCTCCACCAACGGACCAATGATAAATAACCACCAAGAAGAGCCTGACTCACCCTTGGCTGCTCCTCACAAACAGTTAACAGAGATCTAAATACAATAACACCACAAAGTCTCGGAGACAACAGATCATCACAGTCTGCACAAAGAAGCAAGATAAAGTGGTAGAAACGAGGGAGCAGGATACAGACCCAGAACACATCCCTGAGGAAGAAGCAGCATTGGAACTCTCTGATAAGGAATTCAAAAGAATTATATTTAAGTATC